AGGCGAGGGCGGGAGCCCCTCTCCTGAGGACAGGCTGGGAGAGTTGGGGGTGTTCAGCCTGGAACAGAGGAGCCTGCGGGCAGACCTGATTGCAGCCTTGCAGGGCTTAAAGGGGCCCATAGGAAAGGTGGGGACAGAGTTTTTAGCAGGGCTCGTTGTGACAGGACAAGGGGGGGATGGTTTTAAACTAAAGGAGGGGAGATTTAGACTGGCTATAAGGAAGAAATTCTTTACCATGAAGGTGGTGAGACACTGGCACGGGTTGCCCAGAGAGGTGGTGGAGGCCCCATCCCTGGCAATGTTCAAGGCCAGGTTGGCCGGGGCTGTGGGCAACCTGATCTGGTTTAAAAGTGTCCCTGCTCCCTGCAGGGGGGGTTGGACTGGATGGCCTCTAAAGGTCCCTTCCAACCCAAACCATTCCATGATTCTAAATGGGGGCTAGGCTGGGAGGTTCGTAGCACGTACAAATTGGACACACTCAAACGCAGTGTAAATGGGGAAAGCATGACCGGCTCTTGCATTGCAGCTAGCAAAGAGTCATCTGTCCTGTGGGGTATTCCCAGGGTGAGGTGGTTACAGGGCAGACTGCTCCTTGGAGCCTTGCAGTCCCCCAGGAACACACGTGAGTGGTTGCAGAGAGTATGCGACTGCTCAGTGAGGAGCCAGCTGGAGGAAGCTGCGTCAGTGCCTGCCCTGCTCGCATGTGGAGCCCTGGCTTCACTCTGTGTGCCTGCTCCTTGCCCAAATCCTCCTCTATAGGGCAGACAGCTTGCGGCAGGACAACCTGCTGGAGCAGGGTGCAGGTACAAAGCACCAGACGCAAGCCTGAACCGGCTTCACCCATTAACTAAGCAAAATATACACAAACAGTTGAAATAAGGATGTATCTAGGTGATTCTGCTGCCTTTTTCAGGCTAAGAGCTATGGAGACAATATGCTGTAGAGGCGTGAGGAGGTCTCTACGGCACGGGCAGGTAAGGGAGGTCCTGATCCCAAGCAGAAGGAGGTCCTGATCCCACGCAGAAGAAGGTCCCTCTGTCAGGGGAGTGCTGAGCAGCTGTGAGACACAACCTCCTGCTTCGTAGCTGCTGTAGTACTGGAGTGTCCAGCCCAGGTCCACGAGAAGCTAAATTAACACCTCCAAACTGATGTCGGTCCTATCTTCAAGTGGGATTTTCCCCTTTCAGAGCATCATGCTGTACCCAAGCCCTTCTTCCATTCCAAGCGGAGCTCCGAGTGAGCCTCAGGTTTTGCTCTGACACTTTACCTGCCTTTTGGGTTCACAGTGCCAACAACCATGCTCCAAACCTGCTGCGAAGTGAACTTGGACCAGACAGAGTTAAGAAGTCTGGGTAAAATCTAAAGCACTGAAGGCAGCTTCAGGGGGCTTATTCCCAGATGGACTCCTCAATGAACTCCCAGGCTATTTGCGCAGCGTAGAGAAACGCTGCAGCCTCTCCGTTCTTCTGCAGGCCTTGAGCGAAGGGAGTCGAAGAGCCTTTGGGAACGGAGTGGTTTTTAGCAACCAGCGTGGGAGCAGGCGTTGTTACTGCCCTGTCTTACAGGGGCTGGAATAAGATTGCCCTGTTTGGGTGTGAAGAGCAGAGTGGGGGGCAAGCAGGCTCCGCGCCCCCATCACTTCTACTGAAAGACTCTACGGATTGATGCGAGCTTTAGTAACAGATGCTGTCGTACAAGAGGAGGAAATAACGCTGCTGAATCTGTCGTGCCCAGCACCCAGGAGAGAAGCTGACCTGCTGTCTTGGGAGAAGAACTGCCGGTGTAGCCCTCTGTAACAAGATGCAAGGGAACAGACAGTTCCTTGCTTTTGGGGCCAGGATCTGAGAGAAGACACCTAAACCAGTGATGCTCTCCTTCTGCCGCAAGCAAGCTTTGGTTATTCTATTTGTGTTGTCAGAAAATCACGTTGGGTCCCTTAGACAAAAGGCGACGGCTCAGGTGACAGTGGGGGAGGACAGTAAGGTCGGGGTAGCAGGACAGGGGGGGCTCTGGGCTTTCCCCAGCTGCCTGTCCCCGCCAAAGGGCCTCTTGCAGCGGGGAGCATGCCATGCCGTCGGCTCGCCATCACCCAAACCGAAGTGCTAGGAACCAGAGCATTGGCAGGAGACCTCGGGGGAAGTCATGCTTCCCTCCATGCGACGCAGCCGTTCCAGTGCGACAGCTCGGCGTGGTCCCTACAGGAACTGCTGAAAGCAGGACCACGCTACGGATGACAAGGACATGAGTGTGCTTCTGGGACACCTACATGCTAAGGTTAACTGAGCACCAGGGTGCAGGTTTGCATCCTGCCAGCTCTCCTTCTGCCGGTTCCCACTGCCAGGAGAGGATTTTGCAGCGTAGATACTGGCTCCGGCCCTGTCTGCAGCCCTGGTCCGTGCTTTTCCTTCAGCCCAGGGCCCCCTTGGCCTGAGTCTGTCCTGATGCGCAAGGTGGCCAAAACCCACCCGAACCTGGTGACTGCTGCAGGGCAAATCCGGCCAGGGTACAAAGTGCAGGAATAGCCTTCCTGATCCTCTCCGTGACCAACTGGGGCCATGGAGATGGGACTTTATCTTGGTGCAGCACCCGCCAGACAGCTAATCTTGGGAGCATGTCCCCACTCCTTAGCAGGGCTGGCGATGCCGGGAGGAGGCCGCAGCTGTGCGGGAGACTGGATTCATCCGCTTTCCCTCATAAGCATGCAAGAAAAGCCTCTGCCTTTCCTTATCCCACCAGCCTTTCATTTGTCTTCACAACCACTGTTTTTCAGCACCGCCAGCACAAGAAGCCTTGGAGAAGTTGTGGCGCAGCACAGCAGCTCAGGGGAGAGGGGGGCAGAGCACAGCCTGCTCCCCCCAAATAAGCTCCTGCATGAATTAGGGGGGGGAAGAAAAAAAAAAAAAACAGCCTTTGTGAGTGGAGCGGGAGCAGCTGGTGCAGCAGCTGTGTCCCAAACCCTGCATCATCCCAGGAAGTGCCTGGCTGAGGCTCCCCGGGGACGGGGGGAGCCCCCCCCGCCATTT